CCCCCCCCCAGCACCAGCAGCAGCAGCAGCAGCAGCAGCAGCTGCAGCTGCAGCAGCCTGACCACATCGAGGAGCTCCCTTGTGGCGCCGTGGTAAGCAGCAATATAAGAAAAAACGGCCTTGCAGAGAGGGCAAGATGTCTCCCGCTGCGCCCACACCTGCGCAGCAGCAGCAGCAGCAACAGCAGCAACAGCAGCAGCACAGCAGCAGCGGCACTTGGAGAGGAAGCGAATTAAGCAGCAGGAGCGCATGCAAGGAAGCTGGACATTGGTAAGCTCCGCGTCTGCTGCTGCAGCAACAGCTGCAGCAAGGGCACGCCAGCAACAGCTGTTCAGGCCAGCTGCAGCAACACCTGCAGCAGCAGCAGCAGCAGCAGCAGTTGGCCATACCTGGATGCAGCGCAGATGGAAGCAGTGGCTGCATGCGTCTATACGTGCGAGCGGCGGGGGCGGTGTGGGGCTCCCGGGGCCCTCTTTTGCTGTTGCTGCAGCAGCAGCAGCAGCAGCACCCTTTCCCTGCTGCTGCCCGCAGCTGTTTGCTGCTGCAGAGCCAGGCACTTCGCTATGCGCCATCCCCACTGTCTCTTCTGCGTCGGCCCCCGGCAGCAGCCCGTCCAGGCAGCAACCTGCAGCAGCAGCAGCAGCCGCAGCAGCAAGAGCAATAGCAGCAGCAGCATGGCTGTGCAGCAGCAAACGCTCCAACAAAGTGCCCAGCAGCAGAAGCACGCATTGAGCTCAACCCCAAGCACCAGCGGCCCCTAGCAGCAACCACCTGCACGCGTCTGCTGCTGCTGCTGCAGCTGCTGCTGCTGCTGCTGCTGCTGCGCGTACCGCATGAAAGCTCCTGCAGCTCCTGCTCCGTTGCTGCGAAGCAGCCAAACTTCTGCCGCAAAGCTTCTGCGCCTCTCAGCTTCCTTTCCCTGCGGAGAGGAGCAGCAGCAGGGGCCCCCCTGCGGCCGGAGGCCTGGCTGCTGCTGCTGCTGATGCCGCTGCCGCTGGTCTTGCTGTCGCCCTCTGCTGCTGCTGCTGCTGGAGCCGCGGGGCGGGTCCCGGGACTCGCGTCTCCTCCCGCCGCCGCC